ACTACGTTGCCTCCTTTGTCGCCTCTCTAACTTATTTCCATTCACATTCTTTAGGCTTTCCCCTTTGCCTTTTTTTTCTCTATCTTAGCCATTGTATTTGGTACTAAACAGTTGTGGAAAGGTAAAAATATAACATCGATAAATCAAATTTTACGCTTTAAATACTTTTAACATGGCAATTACATCTTGTTCAATAAGCAACACTACTTCTTCATCCAATGAGTAAGTATAATGTTATCTGGGCCATTGTAGTTAATAAAAGCTTACTCTTTCCACATTATTTTTAGAATGTCTGAAGACTTTGAAGGTTTCGTATCTACCCACAAGGCACTTAAAACTATTTTCCTGCAAGCCTCCAACGAATGTGAATGGAAATAAGTTAGAGAGGCGACAAAGGAGGCAACGTAGTTGTCAATAAAGTTTGCAGAGTATGAAAATACACCATACAGACCAGCCAGCTGAAAAATACACAGATTGGAGATATCGTAGCATAAATAAACCAGGTGAGGGGTGAGAAGAACATTTCAACTTTTTTTTATGATGGAAAAACCAGTTTTGAGAGGTGAATCAATGAATTGCGGATTTTTAATAATTTAATTTATTAGGATATTTCATATAGAATTGATATAAATTTCCCGTTCACGTGATTTTCTGATAAGGTTAGCCAATTAAAAACCAAGATCAGGTGTAACGTAAAGAAAATCAAAACAAACGTTCACTTTTAACAAAAAAATTTTTTAGCGCAATTTTACTATATAATAGCTCTCAAACCCAAACAGTAGGGATGTTAATCGGTCCTTGAGATCGAATCCTAATCAGTCCTTACCAATCCTTTCAAGGATCGGTAAGGACTCGATCCTTAAATCACATAAGAGCTATATAGGACTCAGATCCCAGATCGATCATAGGACCTAGTCCCTTCTTTAAGAATTCTAGGATTTGCGTTAGACGTCGTTAGAACAACCCTCTGCCTTTGGCCTTGCACCACTGGTAAGAAATATTTTTAAGGCATATGCCTTGATTTGGATAGTTTATAGCCTTCGGTTTGTGTATTTGATGATAAGAGATATGATTTTAAGCTCTTTTTAACAGAAAAGTAGCATGTTTAAGGCAGTAAGAAGTTAACCATTTCTGGATTTAAATAACTATAGGTGAGCAAACTTATATTATAGAAGTTAAATCACTAAGTATTTAATAATAAGAGAAGCATACTCATGCTTCTAACTAACTTAGTTTGTTGACACTCTTGACCGACTTTGTTATGATTTGGGAAATTTTAAATAGCATCAAAGGTGGTGTGCCTTACATATTCCTTGCTAATGACAAAATTAATCATCTCCGCATTAAGAATAAAATAATGGGTAAGTTTATACATGTTGGCAAAATCCTGACTTACTATAGTTTGGGATTTGTCCATCATCCCAAATCCCAAATCCCAAATTCTAGCAAAGCTAATATCTTAAAAACTTTATTAATAATCTTTATTTAAACAAATTATATATATTCTTATAGTTATAAATAATATATTTACAAAATATTAAAATTATTTATTTGATTTAATTTTTTATAAATGGCAATTGTTTTTTTATTATTTGAAATTTGTCCAGGTTTTGCCAGCAAGTATAGGTAAGTTAAGCTTATAAAAGTTAATTCATTTTGTATTTAATAACAAAAGAAGTATAACACACATGTTGACTACTTTTATCTTATCAGCTCACGTGAAAAAAATTTTAATCAGTAAATAAATTATTTTTTAAGTAATAATAGTATTCTTGTTTCAAAATAAACTATCTTATTTTTTATGATATAAAAGCTAGAAATCTAATATTTATCAAGTTGAATTTTCAATAACAAAGGCAATAGCCTTCCTTAGTGTAATAATGGAGGTGATATAACTTTTCCAGTATAGTTATAAAGGCAATATGCCTTCTTAATGTAATAATATAACAGAGGTGAAATGCTTTCTCTAGTGTAGTAATGTCTTTTTTAGTATAATTATAAAGACAAATATGCCTTTCCTAGTGTAATAATGAAGTGTATAGTAACAAAGGCAATATGCCTTTTTTAGCATAGTTATAAAGACAAATATACCTTTCTTAGCATAGTATAGTAATAAAGATAGTATATAACAAAGATAATATGCCTTCCCTAGTGTAGTTATAAAGGCAAATATGCCTTTCTAGTGTAGTGTAGTAACAAAGATAGTATAGTATTTCTTTTCTAATATAATAATACATAGTAAAAATGCTAGTATGCTATTCTTAGCAAACAAAAGCTGCATATTTTAACAAGTAATATGTTTAAATTTTATTTAAAAACTTTCTGCAAAAAAAAAAGTAAAAAAAATTATCCCTTAAACTGTAGGCAATTCCAGGCAAATTTGCCTGAAAAATTGCTATAAATTTGTTTATGATTTATTTTTATTAAAATTTAAAATATTTAAATAAAATTTTTTTGATAATATTTGAAAATAAGGATTATATTATAGTAGTATTTAATT